AGTAGAGGGTTTTCTACCAACCACACAAAACCACAACAACTGCACTCATTGGAGGCATGGAAACCCCCAAAAGGAGAAAACGACCAGTCCTTTTCTTCCTTTCTGGAAAACTCTCTAAATATCAATGAGAATTCTGCAAAACCCTAGAGAGGAATGCGCAGAACAGAGAGAAAAGGAGACAACTGATCTGAACTGATTATCGTGTCTCTGATACCATGATAAAACTCAGATTAGATGTTCGTATATGTTTAGATCAGAAGAAAGAGAAGGAAAAGAGAGAGAGAAGGGGAAGGAGAAAGATAAGAAAAAGGAGAAAAGTCACAACTGAACTAGAGAGAAAAATCTCAAAACCTCTAGTCGGCCCTTCTTTTATTTATACTCTTCTAAGATATACAAGGATTACCATTGTGCCCTCACTTAAGTGAGGGCCACATCAGCAGAGCAATACATATATAACTAAACATAAAAGGACTGTACTACCCTTGTACAGCTGATTCTAACAGTTAGGAATGTTATATGAGGTATGTGTCTAGAAGAAAATTATGCATTTCCAGCAGTCTTTTCTAAGGTTACTAAATTTAAAGTGGGAGAGGGATAAAGGGTGTGATTTTGTGAAGATGATTGGAGTAGGGTGGAAGTTTGTGAGCTTTGTCCAAGATTATGTAGGCATAGTTCTAAAGAAAGTAGCATTAGTCAATGTTTTGAATTAACTAATTAAGAGGTAATCAGGTGCTTTGTATCCTACTTTTAGAGACCTTTATTGGACTGAGATCTTGAGGAGTACATGTCTGGAAGAAAATTATCCATTACTATTAGTTGACTACTATGGACCCTTTAGGGGTGATGATAATGTGAAAGATTGACACCCTTATCATCTGATCCATATCCCTGTCCAGATGCCATCCTGATGTTAACTCCATCTAATTGAACTTTGGTGTTTCATTGTCACCCTTTAAGAGTGAGAATTGACAGGTATATGAAGAGTTGGCCTGTTGTCATATGACCTAGCCTTGTCAAAGATGATGTCTTAATGTGAACTCCATTAAATTGAACTTTGATGTTTATTTCCGAGGTAGCCGAGAATCTTCAAGTCTTCTGGAGTAAGGGCCCTTGTAGAGAGCTCAAGGGTTCATTTGTTTTATTTACTCTGGTCTTATTGGATAGGAGCTTCTGTAGATATGGGATCTCCTTTTTCATTCAGGATATTTGTCTGGTTCACTTCTTGTGATGTGGAAATTTGATTTGGATGGTGAATAATATTGCCATTGTTTAGATCAGCGTGGGAGATAGAGATATTTGGAGATTCTACCATTTCATTAGGGAGACTTGACCCCAGTAATCCAATTTGAGCATCTTGTTCCAATGGCTGAAGTTGACCAGTTAGAAAGGTTGGTAACATATTATAGTCTATCTATTCCTGTGTAGGCCTGTAGTGTTTGCTTTTCCTGTATCCCTTCTATCATTATTGTTGTTGTTGTTGTTGTTGTTGTTCTTCTTCTTCTTATTATTATTATTATTTTAATCATTTTCTTTCTGTAAGTACTTCTCTTATTCAGAAAAAAAATGTAAATAGATTTTAACTGAGTTTAAAAAAATTACCTCATATCCATTCGCAAAAAGTAAAATATGATTTAGTTTCCTAACTTAAACAAAAAATCTAACACAAAAGCTTCCCATATGTTTACATTGGTGTGGGTCCCATTCTTTAAGATAAATTGGGTTCATATTTACAAACATAATCTAATTTAATCTCCTAAATCAAATAAAAAAACTAAGCTAAATTTACCACATGGATAGTGAGTCCCAAAGAGAGTATGTAGGAATAGTTGCCTTGTACTCATTACGGGATGATCATTAACTAGTTATTGATAAAAGAAATTCTGTTCACCTCTTTTATGCTCTCCTCTTGTATATTTTTTTGATCAATAAAAGAAGATTTTATTCAAGTCAAACTTGAATATTACATCAAGGTGGGAAAGTCCCCCACCCCAAAGGAACTACTTCATAGCTTTGCCCAAAACATTTGATGCCCAACAGCCCCTTGTTTATCTAAAGTATCGACCATCTCTTTTGCTGTTCTTCTCACCCATTTAAAAGCAACATTCAACTCCCTTGCTATACTTTCAATTTCCCGAATTGTGTGCTTATAGATCCATGAGATTTGGGTACTACTCTTGTATGATATTTTTGGACTACCTGGGCTTCTTTCTATGTTGCTAGGTGATGAGCCATCTCTGTTTACGTATATTTGATGAGACTGATATAAGTATTTATTAAGAATATCGAAGTGACTCATATCTTTCATCTATCTTATATATATATTCAAAGAAATGTTAGAATAGTAATCAATTTCATTGGTATTCAGAGATGCTCGTTCTTCTGTCCTGGAGCAAAGCCTTCGAAAACTTGGTGTAGAAAAACTCAGTAAAGATGATGTGCAGAAGATGCAGTGGGAGGTTTTGGAGGCTAAAATTGGGAATTGGATTCATTACATGCGGATAGCTGTAAGTCTTTTTGTTTTATTTTTTGAGAAAAAGTAAAGCATATTTTATAGAGCAGAAAGTGGCAACTGAGTACAGAACCTCAGGAATTATAATACTCTGAGAGGCTGTACCACCAAATGAGAAACTTTTCCACGATACATACAACAAGAACCACCTATTGGCCCTTTAAAGTTTCTATCATATAGCACTTATGGAAGGAATATCTCTGAACACAGTAGCGGCAGAGAGACAATTATACCATAAAACGACTTTTCCTTACACTTCATCCCCTTGTGGTGATGTATCCTCAAATTTCTCTCCATCCAAGCAGTCCATAAAATTTTTGCGGCAGTGGACTTCCAAGCAATTTTCCTGCTCTTTGTTTTTTCTTTTTCTTTTGGCGCTATATTTCCCACTCCTGTTCAGGCCATCAACAAACAAGCCTCCCAAAATTTACATAATAGTCCTAGGAACTCCCAAAGTTAAGGGTGTTGAGAAAGAAAGACCAAATCTTCATACTGAGGAAGCAACAAATAAATAGATGGTCCTCTGACTCCCAAACATGATTCAAGTTTGCTAGAACATGCAGCTAAGAGTAGAAGTTTCTATCCCCCTATTGATAAGCTTATTCTTTATAAGACATGCATTTATTGCAGAAGCCCAGACCATTAAGGCAATCTTAGAGAGCACCCAAGGGTTCCAGATGATTTTCCAGAAATGTTTTTTTTTTTGTATTTTATTTTTATCACTAACAAGTAGATTTCATTAATAATAAAGAAGGTACAATAGGGAGAGGTAAGCTCTCTTAACTCTTGCGTAGAAAACAATAATAAAACCATACGAATTACAACTGAACCCAAAACAAAGCCACCCTATTCACTCGTTTTGCTAACTCATCAGCAAAGGAATTGGCACTTCATTTGACCCACACCACATTAATTTCAATGCCCTATGTCAGTCATTTGAATTTTTTCTTTTCATTACTGTAGGCCCACAGTGCGCTTTGCTTCTCCTTTAACCAGCTTACTACCAACTTGGAATCCCCTTCTATCATCAGTTTGCTAATGTTCAGCTCCTTAGCTCTTTGCATACCTTGCAAGATTGCCATAATCTCAGCCCTAAGAGAGTCTCCTACTTCCAATTGGTCCTGAGAAGAGAGCAATTACTTTCCCTTTCTCATTTGTTATCAACCCCCAATGCCTGAAGACCCTGGATTTCCAACACTACTTCCACCAACATTCAGCTCATAAAAACCATTGGGAAGAGAGGTCCAAGACAGAGTTAATGTCTCCCTTACTGGGGCAGAACTGGCAACTGTTCTCCAACTTCTTAGCAAGTTATCCATTGTGTAATCTTGGAAAAGTTCCAATGATTTCAGCCAGTGTACTACTCTGGTAAAGGTCAACTTCAATATAGCTTCTTGAATTCCTTTCTTCCAATATAGTCCAGCTAATGGCAGCCCTTACACATCTCCACATTATTTTGCCCCTCTTTTTTGGTGAACTGAAGAAGGTAGAGGCAAACAGGCTTTGCACAATAGGTGGCGGAGTCCACCTGCACCCAAACAAAGAAAAAAAAACCATTCCCTAATATCTTTAACAAAATTGTAGGAGATTAATAAGTGATAGCAATTCCCATCATCAGCCTTACATAGAATACACCGATTAGGGGATAAACAACTGCTAGTTCTTTTCTTTGAAGTAAATCACATGTGTTGATTTTTTCCAAGAAAGCCTCCTAACAAAAACTCCCAACCATTGGTGGAATAGGTTATCCCTCTTTAATAGGGGAAGACAAACTCCCACTACCTTCTAGTTGAGTTAAGGCTTTGGAAAAGGAAGCACAGGTGAACAATCCAAAAGGAGAAAGGGTCCAAATCCTTTTATCAGGCTTAGTGGGATCCAAAAATACCCATCAAGGATGCCCATTAGAGTCAAATACTTAACTCTATGTCCCTAATAGCCCTTTCTAAAACCCAAATCCCAACTGAACCTTAAAGAAGACTCTCCAAGCTAACCTTGTTCCCAAAATTTAATTCCAATCATACCTTATCCAAGGCAAGAACAAAGGGAGAATAACTTGAATGGCTTTCCACAGAGAAGCTCTGGTGGTCCTTGCCTAAATTCTGACATCCCATCCATTGTCCGCAATCCGATGAATGCTCACCACTGCCTTGACCCACAATTTTTCTTCCTCTGCTAGTAGTCTCAACAACCACTTCCCCAACAATGCCAAGTTTTTCTTCTAGACATTCCCAATACCAAGGCCTCCATACTTCCTACTTCTTGTCACCACTTCCCATCTAACCCTATGATCCTTCCTTTCCTCCCCTAGTTCCCAAAGAAAGTCCCTCATTAATTTCTCCAACTTTCTAGCTATCCCTTCTGGCATTTTAAACACTGACAAGTAGTACACATGCAGATTAGTTAGGGTGGACTGTGGAGCTAATAGAGTGATTCTCCCTCCCAAGAAAAGGTAGTTTTTCTTCCAAGAAGCAAGTCTTTTTTCAAATCTTTCAACCACCAGAGTCCAGAAGCTTCCTTTCCTAGAAGTAGTCCCAAATACATCAATGGCCACTACAAAACTGTATATCCCAAGATAGCTGCACACTCTAAGTTTAAGGCCTCCAAATCCAAGTTAATTCCCACTATACAGCTTTATCTCAAGATTTACCTTCAAATTAGACATTTGCTCAAAGAGTTGTATAGCAACATTCAAACTCCTAATCCACCTCAAGTTACTGCCTTGACAAAAGAGAATTGTATCATCTGCAAATTGTAAGTGAGTGACTGGTACCCCTTCCTGTTAATTCTCCAACTTCTTATTAAATTCCTTGAATTTGCTCTAAAGATTAGCCTAGTAAACAGAAAAGGAGAGAGGGGATCCCCTTGCTAATACCCCTTAATGGCGGGAAGAAATCCACTACTGTTCCATTCACTACAGTTGAATAGTGACAGTCCTAAGGCAACCCAATAGCCATCTACACCAAATTTCTCCAAACCTGAGGTTATCCATTACCTCCAATAGAAAGGACCAATCCACCAAGTCATAAGCTTTTTCTAGGTCAAGTTTGCAAACCACTCCTTTCTGAGAATAACTTCTCCTTTCACCCTGGCGTCCAGCTCTGTACTAATAATCGACTCTTTCCTATCAACTACTGTAAAATCCCTCCTCTTTTCTAATGTCAAATGTTGCTTTCCTGTCTTCAAAGGGCAAAAGGACCGCTGTGTTCTGGACCCCCAATTTCTCTGTCACTGTATCAAGTATTTTCCTCCTGTTTTTGACTTCATAGTCAACTTTTAATACCAGTCTCTGTTCCCAAACCCCTCTTTCTTCCTTGATAAACATATTTTGAGCAGGTCTCGAGTTTGCCATTGAGAGACCACACAGTGTAACCATCTTTTCTTTTATGCTGTGTTCTTCCTTGTCTTCTTTGGATTTTGTCCAGAAGAGCTGGAGCAACAGAGGGACTCTGTTCTCCACTTCCCTTGCCACTAATGCTTCTTAGTTTGGAAGTTAGCCATAGGACTGAGTGAAGGAAATCCTGTAAATTATCCACAACGGAGATCCAACCTATTTTCTCCTTCCCCTTTGGCACACAAACCATTTGCTTCCTGGTTTTTCCATAGTGTTCTATTATGGCCACAAACCATCCCTTTTCATTTTTTCTCAGTTCAGCCTCATAAGTCTTCTCCTGCACAACCAGTGAGTTTTTCCACCCAGCTTCCTTGATTGAGTATATCATACCATCAATGAATCCTTTTAATCAAACTGCCGCTCCCTCAGGTAGGAAAATAGTATCTCTTCTGTCCTCCCTAATCTTCAGTGCAATCTTTCCATTAATTTTACCTTGTTTGAACAATAGCTTCTTTGCTTCAACTACTGTCTCAAGTCTCAATCTGCTAACTCCTTGGAACTCTTTTCCACCTTGTGCCATTCTTGGACCTCCCTCTCGTTCTATTTGCCATTTTCCAGAAGATTTTTTATTTTACTATATGATTAGTATCATATTCTCTGCTTCTTCAACCATCTGATTGTGCTTGAAACAGGTAAAATTACTATTTGCAGGGGAATGGAAAGTCTGTGATCAGATATTTGAAGGCATTGATTCTCTCAGGGATCATTGCTTTGCTGAAGTTACTGAAAACAGTGTTGCCATGCTTCTAAGTTTTGGAGAGGCTATTGCTAAAAGCAAACGGTCACCGGAGAAGTTGTTTGTACTTTTAGACATGTATGAGATAATGCGAGAACTTCAGTCAGAGGTATGCATCACTAGATTAAATATAACTTTCTGTCAATTTAAGTGAGTTTCTTTTCTTTATTATTCTGGGAGGGTTTTATCGTGTGATTTTCATTACTTATGGGAGATATGGTTAGATAACTTAGATTCTATCCGAGTCAGTAAGCTTGTTTTTATTGAAATGTATAAAGTTCTTCAATGTATCAACCCCCCTTGGTTGTCTCCCTTTTTCATCAACTTTTCCTTCTCCTTTCCAGTTCCACCTTTATTAAGTTATTTCATTTTTGCATTAACCTTTCTAACCTTTTATTATTTAAGTTCCTCCCTCATCCTATTATTTGTTCCATACTTTCAATTTGTAAGATTCAATCATTGAACCTGGTCTGTTTACTTCTATGTTTCTAAAATTTCTAATCTTTCAAATACGATGTAGTTGAGAGAAGGGTGACATGTGCAATGCATGTGCCTCTTCCATGCTAATATGTATAAATGGGGAAAATGACATGATATACATGTGTATAAACATGTAAAACGTTCATACATTATATGGATACCATGAAGCAGTGTAGTGGTCCTATCTTCTGAACCATAATTTGTAATTCAATTTTGCATAATCTTTAAACATATCATAAAATAAAAACTTCTAAAGTGGCTTCAGTTTATGGACATGCTTATTAAAAATGTACATGGGTCTTTGCAAGCTGATCGTAGAAGGAGATTCTCAGTTGGTGTTTAGCTGCAAAATAAAGGGAATGGGTTTTTGAAATTCACAATGAAATGAAGAAAATTAAATGGCTTTCTAGGGATATGGATGTAACATACCGATGGGTCAAAAGTGCAGCTAACAGTATGAATGATATCTAGGCTAAACAAGGGGTTGGGAGAAAGCAACTGATTTGGGCTAGATTGTAAGTTTTGTTTGTGGAGATAAGCCATTTTATCTGCAGCTATATTGTAATTTACATTTGTCATTTAATTAATGAAAGTTTCTGTTATTGATAAAAAAATGTACATGGATCTCTCTCCCATCACATAAGAAGTACATGCATTATGTGGACAACATGAAGCAATGAATTAGTTCTATCTATTGAATCATAATTTGCAGCCTGATTTTGCTTAATCTATTACTGTAGATTATGGAGGAAGTGCTACCTTTCTAATTATATGCCCTGGGAATGTAGATTATTAATGAAGGATATGACACTAAACAGAATGGGATGGTGAAACAGGATTTGTGTAGCTGATCCCATATGGTTGGGACAAGGCTTAGATGATGATGATGATCTATCATGGAATTCTGGGGACATGCTACCATCTGTTATGTGTAATCACAATTCCATCTTACCAAAAAATGTATTATTATTATAATGTCTTATGAGGCTTCAGTCAATATTTTATAAGTGAGAACTGAGAAGTGCAACCAAAGCACAAGAGCTTGAGGTGTGCATGCCTGAATGAAGTGAGGCACCAATTTGAAAAAAAATCAATATACAATAATATGCAAATCTAAATTTTGAAAGAAGAAAAAAATATTTCAAATAGCATATTAATTCAATTGGTTGGAATATTTCAAAAGGCATATTAATTCAATTTTGATGAAGGTTGTAGCCTTGTATGTTCAAGTTACATGGGCTAAGCTGTTTAAACTCTAAGAATCATGAGCACATCGTACAGTATGGTAAATTATGTATTCAACATCAAATTCAAGGTTATGTCATAAAAAAATAGCAGCAGGTGAGATGCTCCCACAAAAATGAGCCTTGCCCATGAGCCTAAGCATGCCTTTTAAAACACTATTTTCATTACAAGGAAGTACTTGAATTGAAAATGTGCACTTCACCCCCCTCAGTTTTGCTTTCTCGTGTTCTTAGGGTGTGCTATCTGCCAGTGGCTTAGAAAATCTGGAGCAAAAACTTAGATTAAACCAAAACTCACTTTTTTGGCGTCCTCGTAATGTTTTCTCTTCTTGGTTGCTAGGGGCGGAGCCAGGGGGTGGCAGGGGGGGCATAGCCCCCCTCTGCCATGGCTTAAAAATCCCCACAATCCCATTTATATCACTTATATTTTGGTTCTCCCATCCATGTTTGTCAACTCTTGACCTCCTAATCAATGTTTATTAGCATTTGGCCACCCCTGCTAAAAAATCCCGTCTCTGTTCCTGTTGGTTGCGGATGTAAAACTTGTTTATCTAGGTTTTTGTCAGTTCAGTGCCAACACATCCCAAGAAATCTTAATAGACTGGCTCACTTTCTTGCCAGTCATGAATGCAGTTTAAAAGGAGTTCAGATGCATCAATTCCCATCTGGTTTGTTTCCTGCTGGTTGTAAGGACTCAAATGTTTCTAACCCCAATTAAACTTTGCTGATTTTAGTGCATAGTGCTTTAGTTTACCAAAAGAACAAAAAGAGAGTCCATTTTAGTTCTCCATTAAGTCTTAACTTATATTATGATTCATAGAATGCATATTGAAGGAGGTAACAATTAGTAACTAAATTAAGTTGTCTCTCTGGCTTATGAAAGTTGAGGCTTATTTTGTCCCAATTGCTTTGGATGACTATGTACAAATTTTCCTATTATATATTTTATCTTCTCTAGCAATTCTTTTCTTTTTTTTTAATAGTGGAGATTAATTTTTTCTTATTTCGGAACTGTTTTTTCTTTGCCAGATAGAGACACTTTTTGAAGGTAAAGCCTGTAGTGAAATGCGAGAATCTGCATTAAGCTTGACGAAGAAGCTTGCCCAGACAGCTCAAGAGACATTTGGTGATTTTGAAGAAGCAGTTGAAAAAGATGCAACAAAGACTGCTGTTCTGGATGGAACTGTCCATCCTTTGACGAGCTATGTAATTAACTACGTGAAGTTTCTTTTTGAGTAAGTTCATATTACATACTGTGCATGCAATTGTAGTGTTTGTGGGGAGATTAGGGATGTTGATAGCCAAGTAGGCTTACTTTCTTTGGTCCAGCAGGGATTGAAATTTCCCAAGGGCAGAATTGGAGGCACTAATACGAGGATTAAAGTTGGTACAAATGAATAACTGGAAGGATTGCTTTAGAAGGGGACTGTGAAGTGGTAGTCTCCTGGCTGAGCACAGGAAAGGTGTACCATGGATTTATAGCTTCTCAATTAAGAAGCTCAATCCCTAGGAACAAGCCTGAACTGTTTGTTCAGATGGATTCCGAGTAGCACTAATGAGCTGGCTCATGGCCTAGCTAATTCTGGAACCTCAAAGCAATCTTTAGACCGGAGATTTCTGGGACTTACAATCACTTTGTAATAGCTGTTTAGTGTCAATAATTAAGTATATTTGGTTAGTTTGATGCTGCTTTTGTGCTGAACATTCTATCCAATTCTGGACAGCATGTTTTTTTTTTTTTTTTTTGATCAGTGAACAGAGTAATTTCATTAGGTATGAAAAAAGAAGTTGCATCATAGGATTAAGAACAGATTAGAAACAAGGCCACTTATCCAAGGAAACAAATTAACCCAAATCTGCCCAAAAAGATTGATCCCTGTGCACCCCTTGTTTTGCCAAAGTATCCACAAATCCGTTTGCTGTTCTCTTGACCCAGTTGAATCTTGCCTCTAGGTCCTTTGCTAAACTCTTGATTTCTCTGATTAGATGTCTGAACTTCCCACACACCCAGGCTGCTGTCATCCATCCAAGAAATTGCTAATTTAGAGTCACCTTCTATTTCCAAATTCTTAAACCCCTGCTGCATTGCTAATTTCAGACCTTGATGTAAGGCTGTTATTTCTGCTCTTACAGAATCCCCCTACTCCAATCGGCCCTGAGAACAAGGTTATAACTTATCCTGCATCATCCCTAAACACACCTCCAATCCCTGAGAGCTCTGGATTTGTCAAAGTAGAACGTTAGTCTATTAGGCTGAGGAGGCTTCCAATCCATTACTACTTTCTCCTTCATAGAAGCTGAAATTGCTACTTCAAACCAAGCCGAATTTGTCCTTCATAGAAGCTGAATTCTGGACAGCATAGTTTCCTTTATAATAAATGAAATACATTCTGTTGATTATCAAAAGAAAAAAAAAGCGGTACATACTGTGCATTCTTCAATTCAATATTTCATTTTGCTAACTACTAGTTATATTTTTGTCGTCTTTTCTAACAATTTTTTAATCTTTCATTTGTTACATATTTTTTTTGAGATATGTCATGGGGGTTGATTTACAAAACATTATCATTATTGCATCTTACCAATTATCTTTCTTTCTCTCTCTTTTGTGTATGTTATTGCATGTTTTAGGCTAGTGCACTCAATATTTAAACGTCTGCCCTATGAATTTGTGCTTCCATGGATGAACATGTTCATGTTTTTCATTGAACTATTTTTCAAAATTTCATTAGCCTTTGTGCATGTTGTATTCATGGTGAATAGTTGGTCTAATATCTTTGACATGGTATAGCTCTGAAGCAACTTTTCCAGTTATCTTTGACAAAATTGGTCTGACAAATGTATTCATGGATCAACAGTTATCAATCAACACTGAAGCAACTTTTCCAGGAGTTTGAAAATGGAGCTGAAACAAATTCTCAGTTGGCATCTGTAACAATGCGGATAATGCAAGCCCTTCAGACAAATTTGGATGGGAAATCTAAACAATATAAAGATCCTGCTTTGACTTATTTGTTTCTCATGAATAATATTCACTACATGGTCAGATCTGTGCGTAGGTCTGGATATCTTCAGCTTATATCATTGAAATATGACAATTTTGTGTACACACTATAACCAAATTCTCTTTGCATGTTTTCAGGTCAGAAGCAAAGGATTTGTTAGGAGACGACTGGGTGCAAAGACAGCGAAGGATTGTTCAGCAGCATGCAAATCAGTATAAGAGGGTTGCCTGGGGAAAGGTTTTGTTCAATTAACTGATTTTGAAGCATCTCTCTGTTGTACTGAAAGATTCTGCATTACTTCTTTATTTTCTTTACATGCCCTTTGGTCTCAGTATCTATGGTTCTATACTTAGATTTTCATCCATCTCTACAGGAAGATTCTTCCTTCATTTCCTCTCTGATCCTTTCCCTATAACGTGATTGCAATTTATAATTTTGACCAATTGATTTACAGTTGAGCTTTAAGCAAAGTGCTAATGAATCTGCCTTGGCGCTTATTTTTATTGAAAATGTATTAATTATTTTCTTCTTTTTTTTTGTTTTTTTATCAGTAAACATGTATTTTATTAAAACTCAGATTGTAAACAGTTTATACAACTTGGTGATGGGACTGTTGATCCCCTTTAATCACTCTATTCTATCCCTCATTACGGTGCAGCCCAAAACAATTGCTGTCTCAAAGCCCCCTGTTTTGCTAAACCATCAGCTAGCCCATTTGCACTTCTTCGGACCCATTTAAATTCAGCCTCAACCTCCTTTGCAATCTTCTCCACTTCCCTAATCACATGTTTAAACATCCATGGGGTATGGCTGCTGTTTGCTGCCCATGAAATTACTACTCGAGTCCCCTTCCACTTCAACATGTCTGTATCCTTGCTGTTTGGCTAGCTTTAACCCTTGTAGTAATGCCAACAGTTCAGCCTTCAGTGAGTTTCTGGTGCCAATCGGTCCTGAGAACATACCCAATATCCTCCTTTCAGAAATTCTGAATACTCCTATTCCTGAGATGCCCGGATTTCCAAAGGAGCTCCCATCAAAATTCAGTTTTACTTTATTGCCTTCTGGTGGTTTCCACTCCAGCCTTACTTTATCTCTTACTCTCGATGATGTCTGTTCTTAGAATTTCTGAATACTCCAGCCTTACTTTTTCTTCTTCTCCTGAATGTGTTTGAAGAAAAAGTTTAAGGCGCTGATAAGAAACATGGACCTAAGAATCAATGGGTGGGGAGATCAGCAAATGCTATGGTGGACTGTCTAGCCAAGCAAGGGGCAGCGAGGGAAGTTTTGTATTGGGCACAATTGTAACTTATTTCTTTTGTTTTCTTCTTTAGTGGAGAGATTGCAGCTCGCGCCTCTCCAAGGGCTGCTTGTATGTGCTAACTTTTCCAAATCAATAAAAAGTTCATTTATTTATCAAAAAAAAAAGTCTGCTCTTTTCCGTGCTTGTGTAATAAAAATTTCCTTTACCAATGTATTGCATTACATTTGAGGGATTCTGTGAATTACTGTTTTGTGGTGGTCTAGAAATCTAATGGAATTTGTGCTTGTTCATCTTCTATAGCACACAAAAGGCGGTGCAAGCCAGCAACCAATATGAAATGTGCAACCTTACATGGATGGAAGAAAACAGAATTCACTAAATCATTACTTTTGATGAACTCTAGAAGGGTAGAGTTTTAACCATTGAGCACTTGCTGTCCAAAGGTTTGGTGCTGGACAATCATTGTTGCCTAGATTGGAGGAAGAAACTGTACATCCCATGCTGATTCACTGCAAATAATGTTGCAGCATTTGGACCCGTTTTCTGAAGCTATTTGTGAACCAATGGGTTGTACCAGAGGGCCTAAGGACCCTGTTCACTCTCTTCTTCACCTGGACCTTAAAAGGCCTGAGCACTAAAGGAAAAATACTTTGGAAACTGCTGGTCACTCTGGCTAGAACATAACCAAAGAATTTTTGAGGCTAAGAGTCCCTTAAGAAGTATTGATAGGAAAGATGGAAAGGCTCCTTATTTTTTGCAGCTAGCAAAAATACATGAGGAGTTTATAAGGGGGCCATTACTTGGTATAATGGCAAAGAATCATCTGGGAAAAGGAATTATTATCATAATTTTTCTGCATAATACTATTATGGTATATACCGTGAAAAATCAGAAATATCTTTTTGCTTGAGGGGTCCTCTCCTCCCATTAATACAAGACCATTTTACCTTTAAAAAAAAAAAAACTCTAAACACCCATTGCCTATCTTGCCATAACTAAACAAAAAAAAAACCACTTAGAAAATAGAAAAGATTCAAATCCTAGAACAGATTGACACCTTATGACCTACTTTGGCCATAACTCTATTAAGACATGTTGGACTTACAAAATCTTGGTCTTGTTGAATGGATAGAGATATGGCCAAAGTTTTTCAAAATGTTAGTTAACGTTTGTATGATTATTAAGGGAAAACAAGGAAGAAGAGAAGAGAAAGAAAGGAAAACATGAATTGGAGAAGAAGTATGTGTTAGGGCACTCAGTTCCTATAAATATAAATTAGAGGTTCTTTAGGACCAGAAATAACATTTCTCAACATTATTGATATCATCATCAACTAAGCCTTGCCCCAACCAGATGGGGGACGTGCTTCCTATTCAGCCATTCCATTCTGTTCAGTGTCATTTCCATTGTTAAATATTTTTTTGGTAGAATAATCCATTGTTAAACTATGGGCCCATACATATTTTCTCACTAATTAAGGCCATGTCTTTTTTTATCTGCCCCTAGCTCTTCTAGCCCCTGCAACTTGTAACAGTTCTCTCAAAGTTATCCAATATCAATTATCTACAATATATGTTGTATCTGTTTATTTATTCATTTACTTTCACAAATTTTGGTGGTTACTTATTAATGTCTGTTGATGTCCAGGAAAAGAAGATATTTTTTTGGGTTCACAGTCATGGACTTTTGAAATGAATTGATATGGCTTGCATTAATATAAGGGTCTTTTGCCTGCAGATTCTACAGTGCCTTTCTGTTCAGGGTCTGACTTCATCTGGTGGTGGTAGTAATAGTGCTATGGGTGGCGATGGAGGAAACAGCAGTGGGGTTTCAAGAGCAGTGGTGAAAGAGAGGTAAAATATACGCTCTGTTAGGCTTTCCCAGCTTTTTCTTTATAGATTCTAAACTGAACAGCAATGCTTTATGATATCAGGTTAAAGACTTTCAATGTGCAGTTTGAGGAGCTTCATCAGAGACAATCCCAGTGGGCAGTGCCTGACAGTGAGCTGAGGGAGTCATTAAGGCTTGCAGTTGCGGAAGTCCTCTTGCCCGCCTACAGATCTTTTATTAAACGTTTTGGGTGTGTTCTCGTAAACTTTAGCCTTATATTCTTTATTTCTTTCCTTCCATTTTCCTTTTGATTCTGAGATGAACTCCTGATGCCGTACAGCCCTTTGGTTGAGAATGGGAAGAACCCCCAAAAGTATGTAAGATATTCTCCCGAGGATCTTGATCGGATGCTGAATGAATTTTTTGAAGGGACGATCTTGAATGAACAGAAGCGGTAGATTTTGTAAAGTAGAAAAAACCCTCTGCTTTGTACGTGGTTAGAAATGTGTGTGTATTTTCATAGATTGTGATTTGTTTTGCATGAGGAATAATAAGAAAAATAGTGTAGCTTTGGAGCAATACGTCTTGTTCTTCATGGTGCTTGTATTCAACATGCTCCTTTCCTGGTTCTTCTCTGAGTTGTTATAAATAATTTCAAGCGTCTTATAGTCCTCTTTTTCTTCCCCTCAGCTCAAAAGCTTCATGACGAACCTTAAGATTGATTAAGCAACTCCAAAAGGTCACAAGTCCCACTAATTGCCTATTTGCCAAAAGCCTAAAATTGCCAACTTGTGCTTCTGGTCTTTATCTCAGCATAGAGTGTTAGAGAATAAAAACTCATTCAGGAACCTCACGTGAAAGCTTGTCGGGCTTGAAGTGTGGACAAGCACAGCCTCACCCATACCTTATACTGAAATTAATTAATTATAATGGGGTGGCCAAGATCAAACACTAGACCACTGGGTCAAACAGGCTTTGATATCATCCAAGGAAACATTTCTGAATAGGATTTTATTCTCTTACACTGATACCCAAGAAAACATTCAACAAAACTTAAAAGCTGTCAGGTGAAGTCACCTGAATAGGTTTTTATTCTCTAACACCGACTATGCGTCTCTGACCACTGCTTAGGTCTCAACTTTGGCCTTGTTAGAATCAAATCAGCTAAAAGTTGCGTGGAAGATGAAATGGAAGGTCCACTTAATTTGCTGGGGAAAGAGAAATGGCAATCCCTGAGTATACTTTCCTATCATCGGTCGGTGGAAAACATGCCACGTAACCCATATTATCAGAAGATTAAACATTCTTTCAAACATGGGTGGCGTGGCTTTCTTTATAACCTCAGATGCCTTTCTTTCTTTCTTCCACCTCTAAGTATCCGTACGTTGGATGGATCTGTGTATCTCTACGCTTTCTTGTTTAAGAGCATTATCTTTCTTCTGGGGATTTACTTGGGGAGTTCTCAACTTGCCCCGTTTGCTCTGTTCATTCATTTTCTCATTTAATTTAAACGTAAGGACATCAGTATGGTCGTTTCAATTGCTCTGGAATTGGAATGATTCCTTTCTGCCTTTGTCCACAGATATTAAAAAACAACTCCATTAGACAATGCTCGTTCTAGCTATCTGTGTCCTGGAAATTCAAATTCCAGGATGTTTCCTGAGATGCACCCGTTGGCTGTTGCATAAATAAATAATTATTAAAATAGCCCTTGTTATAAATGTATATATAATCAAAAGCCTACCTGATGCCTTCTACGAAATAATATTTTTTGCTAAGACGGATCATGTTTTTTAATTCTCTGCTATATTACCAACTAGTTAATGATCCATGGTACGGGGTAACTAACTATATATGCATATATATAGGCAATTTCTATGATGCCGGAAGGGTATGATACCGGAAGAAATTTGGTCATTCCGAACCCCTGTGTGAATTTTGATAAATACTAGTGGATTGGTGACCACTTCTATGATAAGGATTAATTGGTTATCAATTTTTTAGGCGACACGATCTACTGAAAGAAAAATGTATGCGAACATGGTGAGTTTGGGTCTGTTGAAAGCAAAACAGCATACAATGAGATGTTTCCATGCTTTGTTAAATTCATGGAGATTTCTGTCTTCTTGATGTGTAGCTGGATACCATGCTCTCAATGTGTTTAGGCGCCTTTTACTTTCAATAGATCTGGACTCAATTTTTAGGTATCATAATACATGATGCGGCTCTCTCTCCATATTTTTTTTTTATATATATTATTCGAAAAAGATTGTAAAATCAATTCACATTTGAGTTCAAGGATATGTTCTCTCTTCTTTCTTTTGTTTTCCCTTTTATTTTTATTTTTTTTTCTATCGCATGACTAATCACTTGAAGACACCTCTCTCTTTAACCTTTTCAATTCCTAAAACTCCTCTCACTTTTTATTCCACTTCAAAATTGTTTTTTTTTTTTTCTTAAAATTCTCTCCCCTATCTCTCCTATTTGACTCTATAAACCTATTCTCTTACAATGGATTTTTCTACTTCTTTATTTTCGTAATTTTGTTACTCACATCCTCATTAAGAAGGCTTCTACTTCAAATATATGATTAGCCTCTAACTCAAAAATTATAAAATGGGAATAGATAAATTTTAACACAAGAAAATAAAATATATGTTAGGTGGGGTTCCTCTCACTCTAGCTCTCAAATCATGTTGTTTCCTAATTCAAGATAAGAGATTATTTAATATCTTCTAATAACAAATCAAATCTAATTTTAGTTTTCTGACTCAAATAAAGACCTAACATAAAGTCTTTCATTATGTTATATTAATTTATGTACAAATCAATACATTCTAGATCAAATAAATAGATTCAACCTAAATGCTTCAAAAACTTATGCCCTTAGTGAGTGTCAAACAAAGTACCTATATACACATTTCCCATATGGAATATGGGGTTATTTACTTGTATATACATTAGAGCCAAAGTTGCATGAACTCTCCAGCTTTCCTAAATGGACATGGACATGTTAGAATCCAAGTCGCACGGGTTCTTGGAAAGCTCATCTGATGGTATTCATCAAAATTCATGGGATTGCTTTTATTGGTCAAAACTCATCTGGTACCATGTCTTTCTGGTATCATTGATTTTTTGGAAAAGTACGGACATGTCCAGTGCAGATTTCTGAATTCCACTACAGAGCTATAAACATTCAAAATGTCAAAAACCCTTACTTTATACACTAATGTCTCCCCATGAATTGGCATCAATTCTGAGCTGACACCTACCCCATCTATACTTTAGGTCTAGAAATCCTGACCCTAGGCCCAACCGTCATTCTCCTTAGATTTTTCCTTTTTCTTTATTGATATGACAATTTCAAAAACAAATAAAAAACATTCATGTCCCCCTTAATAACAAACCAAATTTAATTTAATTTCTTAGCTCGAATTAGAAAACCAAATTTTATTCTATATGTAACCTTAGTATTAGTAAAAATAAAACTTCACATTAGTATGGGTCCCATTCTTTTAAATTGGGTTATCGTTTATCAATTACAAATCAAACTTAATCTGATTTCTTAAACGAAATAAATAACCAACCTAACCTTATTACCACGTGGAAACGGTTTGCAAGCAAAATACGTAAGCATTGGTGAACCTCATAGTTGCACAGCATTTGTTTATTATTTTTCTCAGTTGTTTGATTTATATTTGTTCTTGGAACTTTCGATAAGTAAATGTCTGAATAGTTTGTGTCCATTACTCATTCATTCATGGAATCCATTTGTTGGTGGACCCGATCCTTCTATGTTTGAATAGTTCATGCCCATAAAATAACCATTTTTTGGTGGGCCCAATCCTTCATATATAAAAACGGTGGCATGTTATGGACGAACCAGCCAGCAATAAGGCATGTTGTTATCCGACCAAAGCACTGGAAAGAATTTAGCTGCCTACTTTGGACAGCCTCTGCTGCCTAAAGGATACATGAATAAGCCTCTGCTGCCTAAAGGACTCTCCCTACGTGATATACATGAATTTCATGTTGTAAGACTTGAACCGGATTAAAAACCAGAATGCCCCATGGGTCCTGGTTTTACTGGTTAATTGGCCGATTTTGTTCGTTTAGCCCGTAAAAACCCGCCGAGGATTTATTGTTTCATACCTAGTCGCAGGATTTGTGTCCAATCAAATGTATTTTATATTTAATATTTTATATTTAGGATTTAAGGTTAGGGTTTAAAGATTTAGGGATTTAGGGTTTAGGGGCATGGTTCAAAGTATTGGCAGAGGCGTATTGGCACTTCGAAATACATAGAATCAATTTTTTTTAGTTTATTTTTTTTAATTTTGGTTTTTGGAGAGTTAAAAAAGATTTTTTTTTTATTAAAAAAATAAACATATAGGAAAATCAAGAGATGGTCGGACGCTTTCATCCAACCATGTAAGAGCAAATATGTGCTCTGCCAAAGTGTCATTTAATCGGATTACAGTCCAATTGTCCGGTCCGAACCAAGTTTTCCAACCCTGCAACATGAGTTGGAATCCGCTACCAACAATACACGTTCCAACCGCTACCAACTTCCTCAAACACCACACATCTCATCATGAGATTGGGGTCAACCATAAAAGTGGGATCCGCCATGAATGAGATGTGCAGTATCAGTTTATATTGATAGGGGGTTGAGACGTGCTTTGCTGGGAAGAGATCCCCACTCGTGTAATACTATTAAAGTAGTGAAGTGAAGTGGAGATCGGCTTCCATGAGGATAAACTTGTGCCTACACTGTTCTAACAGCCTTTTCCAACCTTACATTAATAATATCTTCACATGAAATAAAGCATATAACTAGGGAATCAGTGCATGCTGGTCGAATGGGCTTTACCCTCACTGAAGCCGAACTTAGAGTTGAAGTGAAGGCTAACGACCAACGTGTCACGTGGAATGAGTCCTTTTAGACAGCATAGGCTGTCCAACGTGGACAGCCAAATTCATCTTGGATCCTTCTCCCCACTGTGAATGTGGAAGACAAAACCACAAACAGTCATCTCGACTCTCTATATATTCTCCTGGATTTCATTCGCAACACACCCAACACTTCTTCTTCCCGGATTTTATTCAAAACGCATCAAACAGTTTTCCTTCTTCCTCTCCATAGAAATGGCTCCGGCAGACGACAATCAAATCAAACACTCAAAAGGGTACCTGCAGCTATACCCAATCTCCTCCAATGGCTACCCTTACGCTGCGCCACCCTCAGCCTCCTACTATAACCCACAACCACAACCGTATCATCCACCATCCCACGATAACTGCTGCATCTCCTGCCTCCGCTGCTCGTTTATCCTGCTGTGTTCCGTCGTCTTCGCTATGCTTCTTTTCAGCTACATCACCTGGCTCGTCTTCCAGCCGGAGCTCCCCGAGTTCAGAATAGACTCCTTCTCTGTACCCACCTTCAAGATCTCCAACTTGGAACTCACTGCAAAATGGGAGGTCGCCATGAGCGCAAACAACCCGAACAAGAACATGGCTTTGATGTATGACGGCTTGAACACCGGCTTGATGTACGGGAGCAGCATCCTGACCAGCGTTTTGCTCACGCCTTTCTACTTGGAGAAGATGAACCACACGGCGTTGCAGGCGAAGATGGTTGTGTATTCGGAGAACATGAAAGGATTCCTGGTCGAGAAAATGGCCATGGATCGGAGCCGTGGGTTCATGAATTTCAATCTGAAGATGACCGCCATGGCCACGTTCATGGCTGGATCTTGGATGTCAAAAACTCGAGCTGTTACTGTTTACTGCGAGAATTTGAATGTTGAGTTCTCGGCTACCACAGGAATGGGGACGTTAATGGGGGGTCCCAGGCATTGCTTGGTTCATCTATGATGAGAACCACCTTAATTCTTCTTCTTCTTCTTCTTCTTCTTCTTCTTCTTCTTCTTCTTCCTCTTTTTCTTGCTTGCTTCTCTGTGAAAGATGGTGGTGCAAATGCTTAATTGCTGATTTCGTAAGTAGAAAAATACTTTTTTTTTGTTAGTTTAATTTTCCCTGATTAACTATATCGCGTGGAGGATGACAATTAAGGCATAAATAAATGGGTTATTCCCTCTTCCCTCTTCTCATTTTCTTTAATATATTTTATGATGTACATTTCTAAGAAATTTAAAACAAGGTTGATATATGGCATTTTATGTATAAAGAAGAGCCAAAATGGCATATTTTAAGGAACTTAATTTATATGAGCAGTTTTCATCATCATCATCCATGTGCCTTTGACCAGACTATTAACAACAACCCAAGGAAGTTTTGGTGAACCAAAGTTTAAAAAGTTGATAATATTCTTTGCATCAGAAAAAAAAAAAAAAAAAACTAAGACTTTCTTCCAGTTCTCCTTCCTCGTTAGCTAATTACAGAGCTTTGAGGATCGCCAGAAGTTTAGCTTTCACAACATCTCCAAAAGGATTATTTTTCCCACCTGGAATTATTGTAAATACAAAGACCAAATGATTGAGCAACTTCCTTACAAACCCCACCATCACACTTTATGATTACACATGTTTATGGGCCGGATAGCCCAACCGACCGGCATGGCCCAATCTGTTGTTCTAAATCAAGTTTGGACATTATTTTAGGTCCGCGGGTTTAAGAATAAAACATATTAAGTGTACCCTTAACCGTTAAATATGGACGAAAAAAGTAAAATGCCCGTTATACCCCTATGTAAAATTACATTTGTATCCTTGCTTTTAACTTGTCATCGACGGAGGTCGCTGCAAAAACAGAACAGCGGAGCTCTGGCGGAAGTCGACTCCAGCCGACGAAAAACACCGCTGGAACCACCACGAACTTCAATCGGAGGTCGGTGAGTTTTTTCTCCTCTATTCTTCGTTCAAAGTCCTTTCTTCCTCTATATCTAATATCTCTCTCTCTCTGAAACGTCCCAGATCTACGGTGTGACGGAGGAAGAAAAAAATAAGAGAAATCTTCTCCTTTTTTAAGGTCGCAAGTCCCAGATCTACAGATCTGGGAAGGGGACGGAGGAAGAAGAAATCTGATGCATGGCAGCTGCTGAATCCGCATTTATGCTTGAAATTTGATGTTGCTGAGCACCTATTCCATGACTGTGACGGTTATTATTGTTTGGGTGCTTTGCATCTCCCAAAGGACCCAACCCGCTCACTATCCCTTGTCTGTTCCAGTACCACTCATTCGCTGCCGATGCTGCCACTATGGGCGGTGGTCGCGGCAGTCGGTAATTGGACGTGATCTTATCTATTCAATAAAATAAACAAAATAAGTAAGAAACATATCAAACAAAACACATATAAAGATCTAAATTTGAAAAAACATAGGAAGAAAGCATGGGGACGAACCTGCAAATGAACATCGTGGAGGGAATCTGGGCCGGCAACTAAAAAAGCTGCTTGAGGCTTTTCTTTGAGGCCATCGCACAAACAGCAACCTGGTTTGGTGTAGAGAACGAGCTTCCTTGAGGGAGATCGATTTCGGCCGACGAGGAACGGCGCTGGAACCGCCACGGCAGTAGCCGTGGCTACCACCTCGGGCTCTTCTTTACTATATTCCTCAGATTTCTTCTTCTTGTTGCGGTTGTTGGTGTTATTATTGTTCATTCTTTCATTACCCAATGAAGTCTCTTGCATTTTCGATTTCGCCGCTTCACCAACATTTTCCCGGCGACTTCTAGCTGGAATGAGCTTTCTGCCAAGATCCTAGAGAAGCTCTCCGGATTGTAGGGGCTGTTGGTCCAGAGGAATGGGATTAAGGTAATATTGGGTTTTAAAATTTTTAAAAGTCACATAGTGTCACGTGTGTAGATTTTAACAGAAAATAAACAGTTAGAGTACACTTAGTTAATTTTCAAACAGTAAGGGTAGAGTTAGTTAATTAGCTAAACTCTAAGGATAGTTTAAGAAATTTATCCTAATATATATTATATAATATATATATATATATATACAATATTTTTTCTTTGTTTCTCTTCTTTTTCTTTTCTTTTTTCAAATAATAGTGAGATCTTTTATTATTTTTGATTTTGAGGATTTTTAATATAAATAAAACACTTTAAATAAAAAATAAAAAGATTATATTTTCAAATTTTTGATTGAGCTCGGGCTCAGACCTGAATGTAATTTTGTTGATAAATAGACAAAGCTCGGCCCACCCCAACCATGAACAAGTCTATTTATGATAGCATCAAACAAATTCAACACAAGTAAATAGTCATCTTTAGGCCTGCATGACAAAGCCTTAGTCGATTGCTCTTGAATATCAAAATTTAAGGCATTAGTGTCCATAAAAGTCCTCTTAACATATTCCACAACCCAATGAACAGATTTTACTTCATCACTGAATTGCACAATTCCTGGCATGCCAAATGAAATAAAAAACAATAGCAATCCAGGTTAAGCAAATGTTAGCACTATCTTCACTACTCACAGGAGGAGCATTCAAGATGAACAATAGAAAATCAACAAAAGAGGAAAAATTAGAGACATTTATTCCGAAACCCCATGGGGAAGAAAATAATACTACCTTGGTAAATGGATAAAAATATAACAGATGAAGAAGAGATCCCTCCTTGCAAACTACAACAAAGAATAGACACGGTCCACATTCATACCAAAATTGAGCCCAGATTTCCTACTCACTTTTCCTACCCACTCTCTACCCGCTTCTAAATTGCAACCACACATCTCTCAATTCATAATAGAGATGTGTGGCTTCAATTCACAGTGGGTAGGAAATCCCTAGTGACCAAAATCAACTAATTTTGAATTGTATCTCCTCTATCCTCACACTAGAATCCAACCACAAATTATAGTAAAAAACTTTAACAGTAAATTCCCCTTGGGAGAGCCCAACCATAGAAACTTTTCATAGACATTTTTGCTAAAAATGTGTTTTAAGAATTGCTTGGACATAAACTGGCACAAACAATTGATTTAACTTTTCTATATTTTACAAAATTGAATTGTCCATTAGGTCCTTTAACTTGCTAATTACATTGATCAGACTTATTCCTATTCACGATTCAAATCCATAGTCTACCTATGGAATACCGGATTGACTCCATTGGGCGCAAGGTGGCTAGTAAGGTGGGGGATCTTGTTCGAGGTGTAAATGTTGATCAGACACGATTGTGGATGAGCCATCTTTTTTGAATTCAAATCAGTCCCCTATAACGTTCCACAACACATTCCCGCTGTATATTGAAAACATCTCCCGATGATGACATAATTATTTATGGTATTATCATCTCTCAATACAGGGCAGAAATGTGCTATGGGACGTTGTGAGAGACAATCTTGTGAGGGGTCTGATTTGATCTCATCTTTTTTATCATGTGGAAGTAAATTTGAAGAAGCTAAGCCTTTATGAAGAAGAGTTCCTTTGTTGAGAAGACAATTTGGGCGACAATACAATAAGAAAAACTTGATATTTTTTTTTTGTTTTTATTATGGGTGTATGGGACACATGATGACTATTATTGGGAGTGACGGTGATAGTGTGAATTTGGGTGGGGTAGGGGAGGGGCTTGGGGATTCGTGCAGACAGTGGAGGTGCTGGTAGCAGTAGTGGTGTAAATTAAGGATGGTCATAGTGGAGGATTTGAGAGTGGAGAGGGTTGTTGGAGTGACTCAAGGGGAGTAAAACCAACAAGGTAGATAGGAAGAAGACTGATGATGATGATTTGTTTCAAACTTGGATGCCCCAATGTTCAGAATTACAAGGGATGATGGTGGAGATGGGTGATTTATGCTGGAGGAAGGAATGACGGTATGTGACGTCAGTTACAGAAATGACTCAACCCGTTATAAATTCTGTAATGGTGGGTTTAGTGATACTGGGGTGGTTAAAGGGACTCAGTGATGAGATGGAATCTGAGTGGATTGTCACCCGTAAAAAACAAGCAAAAGAATATGTCTGAAAGATTCAATTGGGGCTGGTGGAGTTATTGAATTCTATAGATTTTGGTGTACAAGGGGTAGAGTCTAAATTGGACGGAGCTGGGTTTTCAGTGGTTGTCCCTATCTACAACCCTGAAAATCGCCAGTAGGAACTGTAGGGGGGTAGGAGGTCCTCCTATAGTTCGGGAACTGGGCCAACTCTCCCGCACACAAAGATTTGATGTAATTTTTTTTTATCAGAGACTAAGGCAAAGGAGACAAGGGTAAAGATAGTGATGAAAAGGATTGGTTTTTGGCATAATAAGGTGATGGAGGCTGAAGGGTGGGTTAGTCTTATAGCTAGCTTAGAGAGAGGGATTAGACATTGAAGTCTTATTTGCCTACAAAAATTTAATAGCAGCCATGGCGAAAGGATATTCGAATATACAAGAATTGTTACTAACCTATGTGTATGGGGATCTACAAAAACACTAACGTGCTGAATTGTGGAATTTGTGTGTGGATGCAAATCATACTGGTCCTTGGTTGTGGTGATTTTAGTGATATAGTACATGAAGCTGAGAAAGAAGTTACAAGGATTAGGGGGTCATCTAGTGTGAGTCTATTTCAAAGAGTAACTGGTGCTTATGGGTTGATAGATATGGGATGTAGACATTTAGTAGGCTATGGTTTACATGGTCGAATAAGAGATCAGGTTTGGCCAATGTAAGAGAGAGGCTTGATCAAATGTTGGCCAATGGTGAATGGAGATTGTTGTTTCCTCATGCTACCATCCAACATCTAACTACATTTTGTTCAGACCACAATCCTATTTTTATCAATTTAGTCGGTGATAAGGGTGTTAGGAGAAAAAGATTCAAATTTGAAATGATGTGGATGTTGTTAGAGTCTAATCTAAGTCTGTAAACCCAAAAAAGGGGAGAGATAGCAATAGATTTGTGGGTGTGTCCAATAAAGAGATTGACACCCTAAGAAAGATATTTATATTAAACTGTAAAAGAACCAAACTATCTTTAGTGTACAAGATAAAATAAAATACAAGAGGTAAAAATACAAAAATAGCCTCTTGGCTCCTCGACTAACTTTCTTTATCTCTACACTCCCCCTCAAATTAATGCCTAAGAATCAGCATTAGTTTGTCCATAAGGAATAAGTTCGTGCCTGCAACATAGTGTTTGTCAAGAGATCAGCAAGTTGGAGCCCAGAGGACACGTGGGAAAGAGAAACAGTACCAACTTGAGGAAGATCGCGAATGAAGTGGCAATCAACTTCAATGTGTTTTGTGCACTCATGAAAAACAGGATTGTAAGTAATTTTGATTGCACTAACATTATCCGCAAAGAGGGGAATTGATGGTGGTGACTCTTGTAGTATATCATGTAGAAGAGCTCTGAGCCATATAATTTCACTACATATTGAAGACATGGCTCTATATTCAGTTTTAGTGGAAGATTTTGAAACTGTAGATTGTTTCTTACACTTATAGGAAATGAGAGAGTTACCAAAAAAGACACACTAGCCTGTAGTGGGTCATCAAGTGTTTGGACAACCAGCCCAATCAGCATCGACATAGGCAGTAAGGCTGGTGGATGGAGAGGAGGAGAAGTGTAAGCCATAAGATAAGGTTCCCCTTAGATACCTAATAATTCAATAGATTATAAATCTGTGGGGTTGTCACGAAGATGACACAAACTGGCTCACTATCTGAATTGCATATGATATATCTGGTTGAGTCATTGTGAGATATATTAAGTTGTTTACCAATTGTCGGTAAAGAGTAGGATTTCAAGAGGGGAATCATCATCATTGTTTAGTTTCAAATTAACCTCTAAGAGAGTATCAACAATTTTATAGAGTCACCGAGATTAGCCATTTTGACAAGATCAATTGCATACTTATGCTGATTAGCAAAATAGCCATGAGAATTACGACTGACCTCAAGTCCCAAGAAGTAAGTTAAAGGGCCCAAATCCTTCATCTTAAAGGAGTCACTAAGGAGTCATTTCAAATCAATGATCCCTTCCACATCATTCCCTGTAATGATTATATCATCAACATATAGGAGAATAAGAGTCACACTCTGATTCCAATGTAAGATGAGTGAATGATCAGAAGAGCTTTGGATAAATCCAACATCAGTGATTATAGATCTAAATCTCTCAAACCAGGCCCTAAGTGCTTGTTTCAGACCATACAAAAACTTCTTGAGACAACAAACAAGCTGAGGATTTGTAGTAGAAGTTTGAACATAGTCATCTTGGCCACAAGAGCAAATGTTTTCTCATAGTCTATCTCATATTCCTGTTTATAGCCTTGAGCAACAAGTCTAGCCTTATACCTATCTAGACTTCCATCTAACTTCAATTTTATTGAGTAAACTCAGTGGCTCCCAATGAGAGAGGCTTTAGGAGGAGCTTTAACCAAATCCAGGTGTCATTCTCAAGAAGGGCTTGGATCTTAGAGTCCATTGCATATTTCCAATGTGGAATTGCTACAACTTGTTCATAAGTCTTGGGAATATCTGTGGTGGATAAAACAACAGAAAATGAACTATGGTTTGGAAAATAATTATGGCAGTCAGGAGGGCAGAAAATTCTAGAACGACACAAAGTGGGTGCAGTGGGTTCAGGTGGTGGATTAGGAGAACTTACAGGAATTGATGGTGTAATTGGATCAATAGCTGATGTTGGAAAAGACAGAAGGGGCATAGGAGCTGATGTAGACTTTTGTCTTCTGAAGTAGGTCTGGAGTTGCTACATGGGTGATGCCGAAGCATTTGAAAGATTTGTCGAATCAAAGTTGTGCAACAAAGAAACATAAGTAGGAAATTTAACAATATGCTCAAAG